GTAACAAAGGTATAGTCAGGTGCCTGGCCCAGTGCTGGGCACACAGTAGGTATCAGATGGTAGCTTGTGGAACTTGGGAGGCTGAGGCAGGATCATCACTGTGAATCTGAGGCCAGACCGGACTACATAGGGAGTTCAAGGTCAGCCTAATGAATTACGTGGCTTGGCCCTGTCTTAAAAACATGGACAAACAAAAATGGTAGCTTGTGGTACTGATGTCTTAGGTACCTCCTTGACACCCGGTCTCCATAGGATCATCTGCCAGGGACAGGCCCTGTGGAGGCAGGCAGCCCTGCTGGGGAGGTGGCTGCACCACCTGCAGGGTGGCCTCTCCTCTCCTGTCCCCTCAATCGCATCGTCGGAGTCATAGCGAAGTGTGGAAGAGAGGTGAGACACAGGCAGTGCTTGCTGGGGCCAAGGGAGAGCTCAACCAGTGCTATTACAGGTGGAGCCCCTGAGTCTTTGTATCACGCTGTATGCTTCACACCTACACAGCTGTATCCTACTACTCAATAGATGTTTGTTGATAGACTGTTGGCAGGAATTAAGTTAGGACAGTGGCCCACCCTAAGCAGGGAAACAGTGTGAATATAGGAATAAAAGGTTCTGAAGTTGGTATGAAGATCAAGGTAGCTGGAGGAGGGAGTGGGTAGAACTTTGGAAGAAGGCTGGAGTTTACTGTTCCTTGTTTCCTCCTTCATTGGCCCTGTGCTGGGGATTGAACTCAGGGCCTTGCTCATTCATAGGCAAATGTTCTACCACTGAGCTACCTTCTATGTCTCTTTACAGTGAGACAGAGTCTGAAGAACTTGGCTGGCTGGACCACTGGCATTTGCCACCAGGCCCAGCTTTAAGTGCCCTTTTGATTTCATATATATATTTTTTAAATTTTATTTATTTAAGTGTGTGTGTGTGTGTGTGTGTGTGTGTGTGGCCAGCTCAGCCCACCAAGGGGCAGGGCTGGCTGGCATGTGGTGCTGGGGGATTGAACTGCAGTCCCTGTGCCTTGCCAAGCTTGTTCTAAGTAGATGCTTTAGACCACTGAGCCATCTCACCAGCCCATGATTTCATATATTTTTAACTGAATAAGTTTGTTAGGATATAACCATCCCTAAGCTAAGTGACAGCTGTATTGTGATAGAAGGAAATACATAGAAGAATGAGGAAGGAGTCCATGGAAGAATGAACTTGAGCAGAGTGTGACCACTGGGGTTCCCAACACTGAACCACATGCGTGGGGCTGTGAGGAGTCACCTTGCTCTCCGGAGGGGACTGGATGGACACAGATGTGACCCGTTCCAGGGCTGACCTTGTCGGACGTTACGCTGTGAGTTGTAGGCTGTAGTGGCAGGCACTTAGGCAGGGTGTGGAGATCACCAGTGGTGGTGGGCAGCTGCTGACCGTGGGCCTGGGAGAGGACATCTGGTCCTGGGCTCTGGTTTTTTGTGCTGCTGGCAATGGGACCCAGGGCATTGCATGCCTTATGTAGGCGCTGTGCAGCTCACTGCACCCCCAGTTCTTTGAGGTCTACATTTTCTGCTTTCTCAGCTCAGGATGTCTTGCCCTCTGGAACTCTAGCATCTCCATGTACAGCCCAGGGATCCTGAGTCTTTCAGGTCCCAAAAGGTTTTCTGTAGTAGTGTACATTGTTCTGATGGTTGGAAGAATACAATAAAAGCCCGTACATTTCTGAGCTCCCTGAGGGTCTCTGTGTGGCTCGCATCTTGGCCCCTGGGCTGGTGTGGTTGGTGCTGGGGTTGCCCCAGGAAGGCTGCGTGGTACCTGTTGGGTGGGGTTGGGGCAGAGCTTGCAGGCCTTTGGGCTAGGCCCTAGGATCCAAGCCGGAGATTGCTTTTATACTTCTGTTTATGGCACAGGCTTGGGCTCTGTGATGCCAGCTTCCTCACTCCAGCTTCCCTCTGGGCCACTTGGGTGCACTTAGGGTATGGGGGAGCCAGGATCCTTCTCTGGGCTTTATTGACCTCCCACCCATGTCCCGAGGACAGGGCCACTGAGAAACTGGCCTGGTGAGGAAAGTGGCCCTCAGGCCCTGGGCTGTGGGCTGCAAGCTGGAAAAGGCCAGCTGGTCGAAACTTCAGGGCCATGTGGGCTAGGAGTGACTCCGTTTCAGTAATGAATCCTGTGGTTCAGGGCCTTGGGTGACCTGCTGCCCTGCTTTTCCTGGGACAGACCCAATCTTGGGGACACGGAGTACAGGTCCTCAGAAAACCTTGGGGTAGAGTCCAGCCTCTGGTTCTCCCCAGATCTGTTCTGCTGGGCCATGCTGGGCCCAACTTTGGGGTAAGGAAAGGGGTTTCTGAGGTCAAAGAAGGCCCAGAGCCCACGGCTCTCTTGAGGGTCAGGGTATGGGCTGCCCTTCTTCCCATCTTTCCTAACATTTTGGCCCGTGTAGTGCTGTCTGTCCCTCTTAGACCATATGCCATCAGGCACAGAAGAAAATGTAGGCTAAAGCCAGGGTTAACAAAGCAACAAAGCTTTAGGCATTCATAGTGTTAGCTAGTGACCACTGGATATAAACCTGAAGCATTAAGGTTTAAGGTATATGTACCTTCCACATGCCTCTTCAGGGCTTTCACCTGCTTCCTCAGGTGTTTTTTGTCACTGACTGTGAGGAAGATGATGGTGTCCAGCCCGCTGAGCACTGGGCCCAGGCAGGCCCTGCAATGGCTGGCACCTCATTTCATTAACACCCCATGGGGCACACGTCTCCAGCCTTCCCTGAGCACAGCCAGGCGATGGTGTCTGAGGTGTGTACAGTGACCCTGACGTGTGGGCCTCTGGGCGGGGAGTGAAGCTGCAGGCACTGCCAGCTCGGGAGCAACTCTGGTCTTGCAAAAGTGACCCCTTCTTTTCCAGGTGAGCAGCCTACAGAGCTGTAGTACAGCTGGCCCACTGTTTGCTGCAGCACTGGAGCCGGCACCAGTATCTTCATTCCTCCACAGCACTCCTTCGTTTTGCAAGCTTTCAAAGTCAACCCCAATGAGTTTTCCTCACTGTGTAATTCAAGCACTTCCCCGTGCTTCATGCCAAAATCTAGATATTTACTGAGGTTTTCTTTTGCTTCATGTAACAGCACAGATTGGTTTATACTCCCAACAAATACTTACTGAGTATCTGACATTCATTTGTCCACCCTTTGTTCCCAGCACTGTGCAGTGCACTGAGCACTCAGACACAGCAGTGCCTGTCCTTGTGGTGTCTAAAATGTGATAAAAGACATTATTCATTTTGGGGAGGTGGAACCAGCCTATGAAGCGCTGGATCTGCGAAGCTCATGAGAAGGTACTCAGTCTAGACACGGGGTTACTCAGTCTAGATACGGGTTTGGGGTCTTTGGCCCAGAGGAAGTGGTGGTCAGTCAGGAGAATGAGGGATGAGGAAGAAAATCCAGGCAGCACTTCTGTCAGGAGTGAGGGGCACAATCTGTGGGGGGGGGCTTCTGATGATCGAGTCTGGGGTTTGGAGGTGGGTGCAAAGAAGTGAGTAGGAGGCCTAGCAGGTGCACAGGAGTAGGCTGATGCAGGGCCTTAGGGCCCCACCATAGGGCTTGCAGACTCTCAGGCAGGGCAGGCTGCTGGCAGGGCCAGTGCCCTGACGCTGAGAGCTGATGAAGCTGGCACCAGCAGAGCTTGAAGACCGTGAGACAGAAAAGTAGGTTCAGGCGGCAGAAAGATGGGAGGTGGGCAGTAAATGGGTGAAGGAGAGAAGGACAAGCGCCATGCTCCTCCTGGCCTTGGTGGGCCATGATTAATTTCCTGAGTGAGCAGAAGGACAGAATTCAGGGCAGAGCTGAAATCTGGTTGGAGCGTGTTGGGCCTGAGAAATGCTGGGGATATATGGTTGAGGTGCCTCATGGGCAGCTGCTGGAGAGGAAAGATGCAAATCTGGTCATCAAAAATGTATGATGTGGTGCTGGGCCCTGTGCCACACACCTGTGATCATTGCTACTTGGGAAGCTGAGGCAGAAGCATTGCTTGAGGGCTTGGTCTCAAAAGCAATATTTAGCACAGTAGAAATGAAAGTATGGATGGAGATCTCCCAGGTAGGGAGTCTGAGAGAGATTATTTGAGGAATGAGTGTTTCCAAGTCCAAAGTCAAGGGGAGGAAATGGAGAGGGGATCAGTGTGGGCAGCTTGACTCTTCTTGGCTCATCCACTTATTTTGAAAATGAGCTTGTTAAGTTTTGTGGGGTTTATAGCTTGATTTCACTGTGTTTTTTTGTTTGTTTTTTTGTTTGTTTGTTTATTTGTTTGTTTTTTGAGATGGAGTCTTACTGTATAGTTCAAGCTGCCCCTGAGCTAAGTAGCCAGGCTGGCCTCAAACTTGGAGCAATCCTCCTGCCTCAGCCTCCCGAGTTCTGGGATTACAGGTGTGCATCACCATGTCCAGCTCATAATTTCAGTGTATTTGTGATTTTTTTGGGGGGAGATTCAGTATCTTTATGGTATTTTCCATCCATAGACACTTTCTCCTCCCCCATTTATTTATATATTTTATTTTACTTTAGTTATTTATGTGTATATTATACTGGGGATTGAAACCAAACAGTGCTAAGCTGCAGCTCCGAGACTTCCTGTTTTTGTTTTATGGCAGGATCTTGCTAATTTGCCCAGACTGGTCTCAAATTTGTGATCCTCCTGCTTCAGCCTTCAAGTAGTTGGGATTACAGTAGTACTAATACCTACTATATTATGTCTCTCTAAACAATTATAACTCAGTTTTCTGTTAAAACGTTGCATATTTGGTAGCTATATTATCAGACATTATGTTTTTGTTGTCTAAATGGCATAATTTTTTAGAAATTATATTTTTATTTATTTTTTTTATTTTAATTTTTTTTTAAGATCTTTTATTTATTTATTTATTTATTTTCATTTATTTTGTGTGTGTGGCCAGCTCAGCCCACCAGGGGTTTTGCTTTTGTCTTTTCCAATCTGACTTTATTGTGCTTTCATTCTTTTTTTTTTTTTTTCCCACGGACTAGATGAGCTTCATTAGACTCTAACTAAAAACAGAGGTGCGATCACTACTGCAGCCAGGGTCCCCTTGCAGTCAGGCAACAAACCAAGGCAGCGGCGGGCTCGGGCCAGACTCAGTCCCCGGCCCCGCCGGTCGGCCTCAGTACAGCGTCTCTGCGTTGCTGCTCCGGGGCCGCTTGATCTTCTCGATGTTCTTCAGGATCATGTCATGCAGAGTGACGTATTGATTCCTCAGCTCTGAAATGATGAGCCGGAGGCTGATGTATTCCTTCTTGTCGATCTCTGTCACAGTGCGGCGATAGTCCTCCACATGGGGATACTTAGCTATTTTAGAAACCAATTTGGCTCTGGTAATATAATATCTGGAGATCTGGTCCAGGTAAGATGCAGCCTCACTCTCAACAGTTCTTAACTCTGCAACTGTCTCCTCCTGAATGGATTCCCCGAAGTTATTTCCATCTTCTATCCTGGGAATCAGGAGCTGTACCCACATTTTGACTGTGTTGCACTTCTCGATCAGCAGCCGGATCTCGGGCTTCACCTTCTCGATGATGTCCACCAGCTGCTGGTTGCTCTTTAGCATCCCATGCGGCATCACGAACACCTTAGTTCCTTGCAAGGCCTCTTCACACTCATCCAACTTCCGCTTCTTGTAAGTGGGACCGTCCAGCCCGTCGTGGCTATTAGTGAGAAGGATGGGGTCAGGGACCGGGAGATTCATGTCAGAGTGGATCTGGGTCAGGTCATGGATGTTCAGGATGGGTTCCTTCAAAAACCTATCAAGTTCTAACAACTTCTTTGGGAAAAAATTCGCCACCAAGTCTTCTGCCTCACTTGTGATCCGCTCCCTGAAAGAATCAACCTTGAGCTTCACTTCCTGATCCACCTTCAGCAACGAGGCCATGGCCGGGCTGGGCCGTGTCCGTTCCGCGGGAGACCGGAGGCGCTGAGGGCTCCGTGGCGGGGGGCCGGAGGGACCTGAGGAGTCTCCGCTGCCCTCGACCCGGCCGCCCTCGCTGGCTCTCTGGCCGCTCGCTCCCTCGCTCCCTCGCTCCCTCGCTCCCTCGCTCCCTCGCTCCCTCGCTCCCTCGCTCCCTCGCTCCCTCGCTCCCTCCGTGCCAGCGCCCGCCGCTGCTCGCTGCCTACTCGCCCCGCTGCTCGCCCTCCTGTGCTTTCATTCTTCAGTGTTACCAATGAATTCCTCCATCTTTATCTAAAGATGCATGAATTTAATCTTCGTTCTTGAGTTATGCATTTGCAGGGTTCTCAGTTCTAGGTTGGTGGTTATTGTCTCCCAGCTGGAGGTACCACCTTGGACGCTGTGGGTGGGTCCACTTCGGCAGTGGCCTGAGGGCCTGCTCTGTGTGTGTGTGTGTGTGGGGGGGCTGTTCCAGCTCCAACTGGGAGAAAGGCTTCTTCTGTAGATAATCTTTCCTTTTACACCTGGAGGTTTTTAAAGTCTTGTCTGTACTTTGGGTGTTTTACAGTGTCCCTTTACTATGTGTTTATTACTTTCTTTTCTGTATTCTCCCTTTCTGGAGTTCTCCTTTTCTTCTGGTGGTAAGGATCAAACCTAGGGCCTTGGGCTGGGCATGGTGGTGTACGCCTGAAATCCCAGCACTTGGGAGGCTGAGGCAGGAGGATTGCTGCGAGTTTGAGGCCTGTCCTGGGCTATGTAGTGAGTTGGTTGAAGGCCTGAACTGCATAGTGAGACCCTATCTCAAAAAGACCAAAAGAAAAAAACCAAAAACCCCAGGTCCTCAAGCCTGCTTGGTCGTATTCCACCACCTAAGCTACACCCCTGGCCCCTCCCTGTCTTAACTGTCTCCTTTTTAAGTGTCAGTTCAGTAGTATTAAATATATTCATATTGTTATGCAGCTCACCTCTTGACTTCTTTATCTTTGAAACCTAAAACTCTATCCATTCAATAACAGGTTTCCATTTCTGCCTCCCACTGACCAGGAACCAAATCAGAGTGCTTGGCTTTTCCAAGTGGCTGGTGTCGCATACCCTTGTCTCCTCAAGGCTCATCCATGCTGTGTGTGTAATGACATTTCCTTCTTGAGTGGCCTTCTTCTGTGTATGTGTTCCATATTTTGTACATCCATTCATCCAGGCATGAACCTTTGGCCTGCCTCTACCTTTCATTATTATGAACAGTGCTACCATGCATGGAGGTGCAAGTAGTTTTTGAGACCTTATTTGAATTCTTTTGGATATATAGAGAGAAGTAGGGTTACCGGATCACATGATAGCCCTCATGTATTTACTTACCAGTGCCAAGGATCAAAGCCAGGGCCTTTAGCATGCCAGGCATGTGTTTTACTTCAATCACTCCTGTTTTTATTAGTATTACTATTATTATTATTATTGTTATTTTAACCCCCTTTGGTACTGGGGTTGAATCTAAAGCCTTTACACTGAATTACACTCCTAGTCCCTGTTTTTATTTTTTAATTTTTAACAAAAGTCTTGATAAGTTGTCCAGGCTGGGCCTGAACTTGGCAGTCCTCCTGCCTCAGCCTTACGGAGTGCTAGGATGACAGGCATGTACCATCACACCTGGTCCTGTGAGTGTTTGTCCCCCAGTGTCACACTGTTTCACACCCCATCAGTCATGCACAGTATTTTGTATTCTCTTTGTGTGGTATTGATCTGAGGTCAGACACTCCCTGACCCACTGGAGGACCTGCTGGAGCCCTGGTTCTTCATCCATAGGCTTCCACTCGGTTCCCTGAGGGCCTGGTTTGGGGTTTGGCATTTCCTGGGGTGGCCTATGTCCTGCAGCCTGTGTGGTTCTTTTATGCTCACTGTTGCCATGCTCTGTGTCTCAACAGATCCAACGGGTGCTCCTCCAAGCAGAGCCTTGGAGGGTAAGGCCAGCACCATTACCTCTGAGTGGAGCTCTCCCGACTCCCCTGCGGGGAGCAGCGTGTCCGGGGGCAGCCAGGCGTTGGACAAGCCCATTGACAATGATGCAGAGGGTGTGTGGAGCCCAGACATTGAGCAAAGCTTCCAGGAGGCCCTGGCCATCTACCCACCTTGTGGCAGGCGCAAGATCATCTTGTCAGACGAGGGCAAGATGTACGGTAAGGGAGCTGCAGGGCTTGGCAGCAGGGCCCCAGGTTCACGGTCCAGGCCTGGAGGAAATGGAAGCCAGAAGCATGGACACAATGGTTTGTGGTCCTGTCCAGACATCGGGGCTTCTCTCAAGTGGGCAATGCTTCCTTCTGCCCTGAGTCCCTAAGGCATGAGGGCATCTCAGGAAAACCCCGTGAGTGGGTATGGAGAGTATGGTCCGTCTTGCAGATGAGATGCTGTAGTAGTGGAAAATTTAAAACTTCATATGAGAGGCGATGGGAAATGGCCTTAGACTGGGGGTGGAATGCAGCTCCAGGCTCTGGGTCCTATCACTAGGATCACAAGAAAGATTCATTGTCGCTCATTCAATTCTGAGATTCAGTTCTCACTCCCTTCCTCTTCACTTGTTCATCAGCCAGACCAGGCTGAACTTCGTTTTTTGGTTTTTTTTGTAGAACCGGGGATTGAACTCAGGCCCTTGCACTTGCCAGGGAAGCGCTTATTCCACTGAGCCATCCCCCCGGCCCCAGGCTGAACTTCGTGTGCTGTGCTAGGAGGCAGGTCTGTCCAGCCCGTGCTTATTACATGTGCCGGGGCAAGTGGACACCTCAGGAACTGTGTCCCCAGATGGGTCATTCCTGAGTCCAGCTGTTGTATTAGGAAGACAGTAGTCACAAGGCCTGCTAAGGAGAAAACACAGAATCAAGAGAGAGCCGCTGCTGCAAGGCCCAGGTCAGGCTTCTGTTCCCATCTTGAAGGTCCTCAGGACCTCCAGTTTGGTAGGGGCCTCAGGATAAGACTGACAGCACTTCTGTACCTGGCTGAAATCAGTGATACCAATGAGCCCTGCCTGGGCTCCCAATACCATGTTATGGCTCCAGAGCAGCTGCCCACTTCTAGGGTTGTCATGCTGGTCTTTTCACTGAACACTGGTGCCCTTCTGTAGTGTAAACATCTGTTCAGAAGGCCAGGGGTTGATGTTAGGTTGGCAGGTTGTTGTCTTGGGGGCTGAGGGTGACCTGTCCTATGCCTTTCTCTTAGCTTCTGGTGCTTGCTGGTGATCTGTGGTATTCTTTGACTGTAGCTGTGTCTTTTCAATGTTTGGCTCTGTTGTCATGTAGCTGTCTTCCCTGTGTTCTCGTAAGAACACCAGCTGTTGGATTTAGGGCCCAACCTAATCCAGCATGACCTCATCTTAACTGATACACCTCCAAAGCCTATTTCCAGGTTGTGTCAGATGTTGGGCTGGGTGTACATGTCAGTGGTAGTCTTGCCTAGCCAAGTGCAAGGCTCTGGGTTCAAGTCCCAGAGCCATAAAATAAAACAAATAGCATCAGTTCTGGGTAGATATAAAGTTTGGGGGACATTTTATGTCAGATTTCTGTCACTGACAGACTACTCAAGAAAATCAACTTCAAGAAGGAAGTGGTTTATTTTGGTTCATGGTTTCAAAGATTTTAGTCTGTGATCCCTTGATTTGATTCCATAGTTTCGTATGAGAAGGAGCAGAGGATGCTGGGAAGCAGAGCAGCACAGGAAGAGGAAGCGGCCAGCATGCAGCCCTCAAGGGCCTGTGTATTCCAGGGAGGTCCCTTCTGAGATCCACCATCTCTTGTGAGCCTATGAAGTGAAGAGTCCATCAGTGACTCTGCTGTTGATACAGTTGTGGCCTCACAATCTAGTCAACATTCGAAGGGGCTAGGGAGATGGCTCGGTGGAATAAGTGCTTCCCTGGCAAGTGCAAGGGCCTGAGTTCAATCCCCAGTTCCACAAAAAAAAAAAAAAAAGCTCAACATTTGGAAGCCCCTCCTCTGAACATGGCTGCCTTGGGGACCAAGCCTTTAGCACATGAGCTTGAGGGGACATTTCAGATCCAAACCATAACACTCGTTGACACTTCTGGCCCAGGGAGTAGTGGGGTTCTGACGGCTCTTGCTTCTGCAAGTTTCTCCCAGAGTCTCTCAGGAGAGCAGGGCTGGCAGCCAGGCATCCGTCCCCTAGTGTGGCGCTGCACTCTCACCCCGAATGGCCTCATTGCTGGCCCTGGCTCAGGTGGGTCAGGCCCTAGGCAGGGGACTGCAGGCTGGACACTGTGTCTGATGACTCACCTGGCCTTCGTGAGTAGAGGTCCTGCAGCGAGCCAGAAGCTGGCTTATCTTCATCTCCTGTTACCGTGCCCCAGGCTGAGCCAAGGCCATGCTGCATGGGGAGGGAGTGGAGGGCTGTTCTGCAGGGCTGGCTGGTCTAGCCAGGAGGTATAGATAGCTCTGAGCTCACCCGCATGTGGGTTGAGGCCCCAGGGAGAAGAGTGGTGGACGTGCTGCCCAGCCACTGAGGCTCATCTCACTCAGTGCTCTCTTGTCCTCCCCGTTCCCCTTGGGAACCTGCACTACCCATTCAGTGTCCCCCAGCCCCATCCAAAAACCCCAGCCAGCTGCTAGCATTCCCAAGAGCACTGATTTTAGCTCCCCACATTCCCTCACAGGAAGCTATGATGGGGTGGGCCAGGCCTGTGGGTGCACACAGTTCTAGGACAAGCAGGCAGAGCCCGCTGCTGAGAGGAGGGTCTAGGCATGGGTACAGGGGTCCTGCCTCGGAGAACATTGATTAGACTGGTACCCAGGCCCAGCCAGGGCATACCCAGTGCCGAGTCCGCTGAGCAGGGCCAGGCAGACGTGCGGATGACCTGCAGAGCGCACTGAGGATTAGCACTTGTTATTTCTGCACCGCGCCCCCCACGCTCGTTGGCTCTGCCCACCTCGCAGTGCCTCTCTTGGGCTGGCTCCCAGGGGCGCTAGCTCGCTGCTCACAGCTGCCTTCGTTTTTTGCTCTGTCACTGCCATGCTGTCACTCTGACCTCTTTCACCCCAGCTACCACTGGCCTGTGGGTGCAGGGAGCATGGGGTGGGTGGTGGGCAGAGAGCCCTTCTGTCCCTTGCCGCCTCCCTTTCCTTGCAGCCGACAGTGCCCTGCTCATCTTCTCTCCCCGCTCCTCCTCTGGAGGCTGTGGTGGTGTAGTTACCTGCACTGATCCCCATTCCTTTGTCTTCCTGGAGGTGAGGGAATCCTTTTCTTTTTGCCCCTCCTGCTGCTTGTCTTTTTGAGATAGGGTTTGGATATGCAGTTCAGGCTGGCCTTGTACTCACACTGTAGCTCAGGCCTGCCTTGAGCTCACAGTGACCCTCCTGCCTCAGTCCCCCGAATGCTGGGAGTATAGGCATGGGCCACCATACCTGGCTGTGTCCTCATTTATTTCTGCTATGCTCTCCTATGTCCCCGCCTGGTTTCCCAGGCAATTAGTACATTCTTTGTATGTGTGTGTATGGTACTAGGGATTGTGAACCCAGGGGCTCCATGCTGAGCCATCCCCAGCGTTTTCTTAGTTTTTATTTTGGGTCTTACTGAGTTCACTAAGTTTATCAGCTGGACTCAAACTTGAAGTCTTTCTGTCTCAGCTTTCCAGAGTGCTGGCATTTTAGGTGTGTACCACACTCAGCTAGTCAGCTCATTCTTACGAAGTGCCAGCATCCAAGAAGGCTAGGGCTGAGAGCTCAGTGTCTGTTTTTAGTGACTCTGTGGTCCCACGGGAGAGATGGGAAAAACAGCTTTGGAAAGTGAATCACCTGGGAGGTGCTCAGGCTGTAGACATCTGGGGAAACAGAGGCTGGGTTAGCTTAGGGAAGTGGAGCCTAAGATGGGGGTCTGGCAGGTGCTCCAGGCAAAGGGGATGAGAAGTGAGAACAGGGCACTGGACCATACAGGTAGGACAGTGCAGGGTGCTTGGGGACCCAGTGCAGGGCAGGGCAAAGCGGTGTGACAAGCTGAGGGGAGGGGACCCCGCACTCATAGTCACCAGGCTGGTGAGAGGCAGAGTCAGGGCAGGCCTGGCAGGGGAGGGTGCAGCCAGGCTGAACATCAGCCTCCCTGCCCTTTGTTGTGTCTCTCTCTGGGTCTAGGTGTCCCTCTAGGCCAGGCTCTCTGGGAGGCCCTTTGTCCAGTGGCTGGTGTGACCGCAGGCAGGTTGTTCAACCTTCCTGAGCTTCACTTTCTCATCTGTAGAACTGAGAGAATAATGCTACCAGCAGGAGTGGTGGCAGTTTTATTTACTTTATGTGGGGAAATAGAAATTACCTGACATTAATATTTAAACCTTTTTTTAAATGTATTTAGTACAAGGTCTACAGGGTTTCACTACACAGATCAGACTAGAGTGATCCTCCTGTTTTCAGTCTCCCAAGTACTGGGATTATAGGCACACACCACCACAGCTACATACAGTTCAATCTTTTTTTTTTTTTTTTAATTTTATTATGTGTGTGTGCGCATGTGTGTGGCCAGCTCAGCCCACCAGGGGGCGGGGCTGGCTGGCATGTGGTGCTGGGGGATTGAACCGCAGTCCTTGTGCTTTGCTAAGCTTGTTCTAAGTAGGTGCTTTAGACCACTGAGCCATCTCACCAGCCCCATACAGTTCAATCTTTTTAAACCATTTTTATGTGTATAGTTCAGTGCATTGGGTATATTCACACTGTCTTTTAGCTTTTTCTTTCTCTCCCTTTCTTATGCACTGTCACTGAGCTATGTCCCTAGCCTAGTGGCTAGCTTATTTTTGTTAACTTAAACAAGTACAGTTTTGTGTTCAAGGTGCCTCCATATTGTGGTTTTTTTTTTATTGACATTTTTTATTAGTGCATTTTATTTGTTTATTTATTTTGTGGTACCAGGGATTGAACTCAGGACCTTGGTGCTTGCCAGGCAGGCGCTTATTCTACTGAGCCATCTCCCAAGCCCAAGTGCATTTTAGATATACGTAATAACATTATCAGAAGAAACTTACTCCTGTACACATTATATATATTCTTCTTTTTCCCCCGTTCCCCTTTCCTCCCTTCAACCTCTCTTCCCCTCCTTATTTACAAAAGCTTATTTCCATTTTTCCTTCTATTTTTTCTTATCCTTTTCTCCCTCCCCTTCACTTATTCCCCTTCTCATTTGTACATTTTTTTCTTGTTCCACAATATCTATTATTATTATTATTTTTTTGTGTGTGTGTGTGTGGGGATTCAACTCAGAACCTTGCTCAGGCAGTTGTTCGGCTGCTGAACTATCTCCCCAGCCCCAATTATATGTTTTGATCCTTTTGGTTTCTCACACCAGAGAAACAACACAGTATTTATATGCATGTGTCCAGTGTATTTCACTTCAGAGTATGGTCTTAAGGTGCATCCATTTACCGAGAAATACCTCAAGCTTATCTTTCTTTGTGGCAGAGTAAGTACTCACATCTTTAGTCATTCATTGGTTGATAAACATTTGGAATGTTTCAAGATTTAGCTATTGCATGGGCCCGCAAGATAGCTCAGTGGACTAAAGTACCTGCTTAGGCAAGCTCAGGCAAGCACAGGGTTCATGGATCAATCCCCAGCACCATGTGCTGCGCCAGCCCTGCCCCCAGGGCATGCTGAGCCAGCCACCCAAAAAAAAAAAAAAAGGTTTAGCTATTACAAACTTGGCCAACATAAACAGTTACATCCATGTTGTAACATGTGTTAGAAGTCTTTCCTGTTTGTGGCTGAATAATATTTTCATTGTGTGCATACACCACATTTAGTTTATCCATTTACTTATTGGTAGGTGTCTAGCTATGGTCGCTAGTGCTGTGAACCCTGGTGTACAAATATCAGAATCCTTGTTTCCAATTCTTTGGGGAGGTTAGGCATGGCCGACTCTGTTGGTAGTATTATTATTATTATTATTATTTTTTTTTTTGCCGAACCGGGGATTGAACTCAGGCCCTTGGGCTTGCCAGGGAAGCGCTTATTCCACTGAGCCATCTCCCCAGCCCCGGTAGTATTATTTTGGACTTTTAAATTTTTTTTTTTTTGGTGGAACCAGGGATTGAACTCAGGCCCTTGTGCTTACCAGGCAAGCACTGATTCTACTTAGCTATCTCCCTGGCCGAATTTTTTTTTTTTTTTTTTTTTTTTTTTTTCAGTACCAGGGATTGAACTCAGGGCCTTGCACTTGCCAGGCAAGCACTGATTCTACTGAGTTATCTCCCCAGCCCTCTGTGTGGTTTTTGAGGAACTAAAAACCAGACTGTCTTCTGTAGTAGCTCTATCACTTTATATTGCCATTAGCAACACAAGGGCTCCAGTATCTGCAGGCTCTTACCAACACTTTGTTTTGGAGATGAGGTGTCTCTCTGTAGTTCAGGCTGGCCTTGAACTCACTATGTAGCCCAGGCTGCCCTCAAACCTCAGCAGTCCACCTTCCTCAGCCTCTGTGGGCTGGGATCACAGGTGTGTGCCACCATGCCTGGCACCAACCCTTGGATTTTTCTTCTTAGGATGTGAATGCATTTTCCTGATGATCAGTGGTACTGAGGGACTCTCCACAAGTTGTTGGGACAAACACCACTTTTCAGTGCTGCTGTGGGGCTGAGATCTTGTGTGGTGCTAGAGGCCCAGTGTAGGGTATGTAGAGCTAGATGGATAGTTCTTTTCTCTCAGGGGCTCATGGTTTTGAGAGGGCCATGACCCTGTGCGTAGAGCATGCAGGCAGGAATTGGATTCCCGCTCGAGTAGTGTCAGGGCGAGCTCCTTGGGCCTTGGCTGGCTGAGATTTCACCAGGAGCCTTAGACCCTACTCCAGGAGTGTTGGTGGTGATGGCTTGGATATCAGGCCCAATTTCTGGCTTCTCCAGCTGTCTCAGCTGGCCCCTGGGTAGTGAGAGAGTGAGACAGACAGACAGACAGACAGACAGACAGACACACACCACACAGACACACACAGACATACACACACACTCCTGTGGTTGTCTGGACAGTGGGCATGAAGAGTAGGCCTGGGCCAGGGATATAGCTCAGCAGCATAAGCACCTTCTTGGCAAGCACAAGGTCCTGAGTTAGATCCCTGGTACCGCCAAAAAAAAAAAAAAAAAAGAATAGGTCCAGCTGCTCAAGCAATTGCAGAGTTCAGGATGGGGCTTTGAGGACGAGGGTGCCGGGAACTGAAGGGCCACATAGGCCTCCTCTGTGGCCTGGAGGGAGGGCTGCTGTGGGAGAGGGGATTTCTGAGGAGAACAGAGATGCAGAAGCAATCCATCCCCACAGGACTTTGCAGGTGGGATGCACATGTTAATGGGAATGTGAATTGAGAGAGAGCTGGGCCTGCCTGATTGGTTAGACAGGATGAGGGTACAGGAGAAAGTGGGTTGATGTTGGGGCATCTGCAGGGAGCCTCTGAGGGGTGGGAGATGTAGCTCAGTGGTGCAGAGTTTGCCGGGAGCCTCTGCCCTCACCTGGGGGTCAGGGCAGCTCTTCTCTCTCCCCTTCTCCCCTAAAGGGGTGGGCCCTGGGCCTGAGTTAAGGCACTGGAGCTGTGGACACTCATCCTCTGACAGATAGGCCCACTGTCCTTCCCAACACCTACCCAGGCCTTCGGTGGGGCTAACTGAAGCTCCCTGCCACATCGCAGTGCTCAACTGGCCTTCCCTGAGGTCCAGGCTGCCCACCTGCTTCCTTTGCCAGAGTACTGCTGAGAGCTGATGTGAGGACTTGGCACCTCTGGCCGGTTCTGAGTGCCATGATCCTCTGCACTGACTACTCATCACTGTCGGGACACTTGCTTCTTCCTGTCCCCTTCATTCTGTAGCCTCTGACACGTGTCATCCAGGCTGCATTGGCTTCTACCAGCTCTGGTTGCCTCTGGCATAAAAGAGGGAAGATGAGGCATGTTCTCCCAGAGGACCAGGGCAGAGGACCATGGATGTACTTCAATTAGAGACCTGGGGGCTCCATTGAGCATGGACAGGACCTGAGTGGCCCTGGAACACACTGCCAACCAGAGGCAGCAGCTGCTGGAGAAAGTTGTGTCATAGTCATGGAACACTGTCGATACGACTGTAAGAAATCCTTCCTCTGCCTGAGGTCTGGTTGCTTTTCCTCTGCCTGGAGAGGGCCTGTGGGGGCCACCAAGCCCAGCCCCCTATGGAGAGAGCTGAGCACACTGTAGTGTTCAGTGTGAGAAATGCTGTGCCATAGTAAGAAGCAGGTTCTGGACAAGACTGTATGGACTTGAGTTCCAGTCATTTGCTGGCCTGTGTTCTTTTTTTTTGTTTTTAGTATAGGATCTCACTACATAGATCAGACTCTCCTATTTTCAGCCTCCCAAGTGCTGGTATTACAGGTGTGCGCCACCACGCCCAGTCTCAATCTCAATCGCCTTCTCAAGCACACCCAAGGGGCAGGGCCAGCATGGCATGCTGAGGAGGGGATCGAACCCCGCCCCTGCATCTGCTTAAGCAGACACTTTAATCTGCTGAGCTATCTGGCCAGCCCTTGACCTGTGGTTTTTTTTTGTTTTTTTTTTTTCAAACCTGGGGATTGAATTCAGGCCCTTGCGCTTGCCAGGGAAGCACTTATTCTACTGAGTTATCTCCCTGGCCCCTGGCCTGTGTTCTTAAACAAGTTTCTGAGCCTTTTTGTGCCTCAGTTTCTCTGTATGTAACACGGAGATTATATTGGTAGCAACAGAACTGGTGTGAGGATTGGAAGTGGACTGCACATAAAGCTGTGACCCTGTGCGTATCTGTGTCTATGGAGGTGTGTGCAGTGGACAGATGGTCTCTGGATCACGAGCACAGGAGCCATAGGCAGAGAGGAAAGCGTCCCATGTGTATGCAGCCTGGATTTGATGCCAGTGGGCCTGGCAGCATGGGGCCCCGTGGTGACCTCTGGAGGACTGCCCTGGTGTCAGGAAGGAAGCTGCCTGGCTCCTCCGGCTCCGCTAAGCACATTGCAGGCCTTGCCTCCATTTGGAGGAGTGACTGCTCTGTCACCCTGGCCAGAGCTGGAGAAGACGGGATTAGAGCCCAGGGGGGCTGTGGGGAGCAGGAGGGAGGCCTGGACAGAGACCGAGGGAAGCTGGGACCCTCTAGATGTGACTCGGAATAAATCAGACTCACAGGAGAGGACAGAGGATGGGTCACCTGCAACCAGAAATGGGGAGATGCTGTTCCACAGTTCAGAGTTTCCATTAGGCAGGAGGAGAGGTGGTTTCTTGACACCTGTTGCACAGCAGGGTGATGATAGTTAATCTTTTTTTTTTTTTTTTTTTTTTTTTGGTGGAACCGGGGATTGAACTCAGGGCCTTGCGCTTGCCAGGCAGCGCTTATTCCACTGAGCTATCTCCCTGGCCCTGATGATAGTTAATCTTGTGAGCTTCAAAACTTCTTTCCCTTTCTTCTTCCTGCTCTTCCCCCACATCCCCCGCAACCCCTGCCAGCCTGGCCTGGCCCTCCCTTGGGATTAAATGTAGGGCCTCCTTCATGCTAGGGAAGTGCTCTACCACTGAGCTATCACCCAGGCCCAATGGAGTAAGTTTCAAATATTTTCTGTATGAAAACTGTAAGTATTTGAGCTGGGCATCATGGTACATGCCTATACTCCTAGCACTTGGGAGACTGAGGCAGGACAGTTTCTAGCTAGAGGTTGGTAAAGCTACATAGTGAGTTCAAGGCCAACTTGGACTATATAGTGACATCCTGTCTTAAAAAAAACAAACAAACAGGGGCTGGGGAGATGGCTCGGTGGAATAAGCGCTTCCCTGGCAAGCATAAGGGCCTGAGTTCAATCCCCGGTTCCGCAAAAAGCAAAGCAAAACAAAGCAATAAACAGACATCCCTCAAAAGGGCAAGTATTGGGGTGATGGTTCTATTAATTAGCTTTATTGTATATATGTATACCCTCAGTCTGCCCTACAAGGGTATATACAGTTAAAACCATTTCAAATACTGCTGAGCCAGCCTTAGCTGCTTGTCTCTAGCTGTCCTGCCTACCTCAGCCAGGATGGCCTTCTGGCTGAAGAGCCCTGAGATGTGTGGGATGAGGCAAGGGGGCCAGGAGTGAAGGTCTCAGCCAGTGCAGGCTGGCTTGGGAGAGCCTTTGAATTAACCAGGATCTTCCTGGGCCTGCTCCATGGCAAGTGACCTGACCAAGAGCCAGCTGTGTGAGTCCTCCTAGATCCATCTCTTGGCAGGTATTCTGGGGGAGGTTTTCTGGCTTCTGTTTTCCTCATCTGATAAATAGGTATAATTACCTGGGCATGGTGGGGACAAGGCACAGGAGTTTTTTCTTCATCCTTTGAGGGTTTGTTTGTTTGTTTGTTTGTTTGTTTTTTGGGGGGGTCTACAGGGTGTTCAGGGTCTTACTACTAGATCAGGATTTTTTTTTGGGGGGGTGGGGGCTGGCTCCGAATGCCTTCAGGGCATGTTTGGCTGGCTGGCTGGAGTTGTGGGGATCGAACCACAGCAATCTGAGCCTGACTGCTTTGTTGAAGTAGCCACTTAAAGAACTGAGCTAAGGGGCAGGCCCCCTCACTACTAGATCAGACTCATAGTGATCTGCCTGTTTACAGCTTCCCAAATGCTGGGACTATAGATGTGTGCCACCACGCCCAGTCTCAATTGCCTTCTTAGCACACCCTGGGGATGGGGACGGGGATGGGGACGGGGACGGGGACGGGGACGGGGACAGCATGGCAGGCCTGGGGATCAACCCCCCGGCCCCTGCCCCTTCTTGCAGGTGCTTTAATTCGCTGAGCTATTTGGCCAGCCCTCAAGTTATTTTTGCCATGTAACCAGGCTGGCCTTGAATTCAGGACAAGCCTTGTGCCTCAGCCTCCTGAGTGCTGGGATTATAGGCATGTACCACCATGCCCAGCTCACTGAATTTAATTGTTAAAGCTGCTCTACTGAAGTATCAGTGATGTTACCAGGTGGGGTCTGGGGAGGTACCCCAGAGAAGAGAGAGCACCTCGACTCACCCCATGCAGGGGAGGTCCTCGGTTGCATGATAGGATGTGTCAGGGAGAGACATTAGAAAGCATGTAGGGCAGAATTAAGGAAGTACACACTGGAGAACAGAGTGCAGGTCCCCAGGAGAGGGCGCTATGGCAGGTGCAGGGTGTCCTCAACGTGGTGACTGAATAGGCCATGCGCTCCTCCTGTCTGCCTCTGCCCCTCTGGTGGCCCAGGTCAGAAGGCACATGTCTGTGTTGATCTGAATTTAGGGCTGTGTTCCCACTTACTGGTGCTGATTCCTGGGGTGGGGTCTGGGAGATGTGCAGCTGGGCCCATTTTCTGTACAGACTTACTTTGTCTTCAGAACCTTGGGAGCTTTTGATTTAACTATTTTTGTAGTGCTGGGGCTGGAACCCAAGGCCTTGTCCTTGTATTTCTCATGCTTTTCCTCAACAATAGCCTCTCAACTTTTAAATTTCTCAGGCCCCACAAAATTATAGATTTGCTCATGTATAGAAAGGCTTCCGAGAGACCAGTGCCTTGCCATTTACCTCAGACTGCTGCCCTGGTGGCTCCTACCTCTAATCCCACACTCTAGGAGACGGAGGCAGTTTAGCTCTCACCCTTGTTTTAGAATGCTGGGTCACTTTCCCAGGTCAATATCTTATCATAGCCCACCTCTCTGTCATTCATGTAACAATTGCTGGTCGAGTGCATACAACACACAGGCCCTTTTCTGAGTGGCCTGTATAGATAAGTCATGAACAGATTTTAGAAAATCACTTTTCTCTTGGAGACTCCTTGGGTGTGGTGGAGGTGTGTGGGAGAAAAGTCCAGACGGCAGACTGCTGGGGTGGGGGGAGTGGGGAGGACCAGACCTCAGTGCTCTCACGTGGCCAGGGAGGATGCCGTAAGACAGTGGTGTCCAAGCCTCACGACCAGCACGTCTTGTCAGAATGTTCCCTGGAGGGAGCAGAGGCCCTGTGGGCAGTGAGCCTGGCACCTTCAGGATATGGAAGAGGTTAGGGTGAAGGGCACGAACCAGGAGGGCTATCGTAAGGACTTGGGAACTTTTACTTTTTCAGAGATAAGGTGTCATTATGATGCCCAGGTTAGCTTGGCAGGATTTAGATTTTTTTTTTTTCACTACTATGAATTAAACCTACTGCCTTGATACACTAAGCTACATCAGCAGCTCTTTTGTATTTTTTTTTTTTTAATTTTGAGATAAGGTCTCATTAAGTTACCCAGGCTGGGCCAGTTCCTTTGCACAGGCGAAACTTAAACTTGGCGATCCTCCTGCCTCAGTGTCCCATAGTGCTGGGGTTACAGCATGTGCCACCAAACATAGCAACTTAGACCCTTTTATTCTTTGGAAGATGGGAAGCCGGCAATGGCTTTGGGTTTTACTAAGATGACTACTGAGTCTATGTGGAGAATAGACTGAGAGAAGAAAACCCAAGTAGGAGGGCAGGTCATGGTTGTTTGGCCCATGATGAGAGTTCTGGTAAATAGCCCAGTTCTGGGTACATTTTAAAAATTCAAAGACTCACTTCATTCAGTCTTCAGTCACTCATTTGTTCAGTTGGTGCCAAGTGTTAGAGATAGACTTGGTGAGGCTGTGGCCTTGTCCCCTGGGTGTTGCTTGTCTCCAGAGTCCCCTGTCTTCCCCACCCCTCCAGCCACCAACCTCAGGACTCCTGCCATTCTTCTCCCTCATTCCTTGACCCTTCTGTTCCTGAACATGACTCCTTACTTAGGCCAAAGATGTGTCCATTTTTCAGAGAAGTAAACTGATACAGCAAGTGTTCTCACTCACCCAGACTCAAGGTCTAGCTTCTAAGTCTGTAAAATTGTAGTTGGACAGGAAAAACCTTAAAGGAATAGATTTAAGAAGACAAGGGGTGCTGGGGAGATGGCTCAATGGAAGAAGTGCTTCCCTGGCAAGGACAAGGGCCTGAGTTCATCCTGGTTCCACCAAAAAAAAAAAAGAAGGAAGACGAAGAAGAAGAGAAGGCAAGGCCAGATATGGTGGCTCATTCCTATAGTCCCAGCATGCTGGGAGGCCGAAGCAGGACAATCACAAGTTTGAACCCATTCTGGGGATTTAGCAAGGCTCTGCCTCCAAGTGTTAAGAAAGGGCAAAAAAGAAAAAATAGAGTGAAGGATCAGGGTGAGGTCTGAGGGGATTGCTTCCCACAGTTCTGAAGCTCCTTCCTGAAGCCAAGGGCTCAGCCTGGCTCCCCAGGCTCAAGTCCTGTGATCCTTGACACTGGAGATTACAAGTTTTGCATCTTGTAGTGGCAGTGTGGGTGCCTGCTGTCAGTGGAGTAGAACAGGTGAGTGCAGTGGGGCCGCTCTGTGCCTTTCCCTGGAAAGCTCTGAGGAGAAACATCTTGCTAGACTCGGCAGTTTCAGGTGCAGACCAGCCTGCAGGCAGATGGTCCCCTCTTCTCTTCCTCCTCAGACAGACAGGTCAGAGTGCCCAGGCCAACAAGTCTGCTGGCCGGCAGCACTTCTGGAGGGTGGCCTCTGATCCTGCCTTGGCAGCTGGGAAAGGTCAGCTGGGCAGCCGGTGTGGCCCTGGCCAGGTGATCTGGTTACAACCTAAGTGGAAGACAGCCCTCATGGCTCAACTGCCTCTGCATCAGCAGCTCCCTGGTGGCCCCCCCAGCCTGAGCCCTCCTCTTCCTCACTTGGTACTTTTCTATAATCCACTCCTCCCCAGTGGTTGATGTTCAGCCCCTGACCACCCAACCTGGACTGACTCCTTGTCCTCTGAGCCCATCCTTGTCTCTAGCACAGCTGGGTATGTTGTGTGGTGCCCCTCTCTCAGCAAGGTACTGAGCTCTTTGAAAGCAGGGAGCCGTTTTTTGTTATGACACTGATGATAATATAATCAAGGATGCTTGGGGCTTCTATAGTCCAGGGTCCTGCAGCCCTAGCACCTGCTAACAGCCGGAGTCAAAGCTGAGGGTAGAAATAGGAGCTGAATGGTTTGGTTGTCTGGCTGATTTTTTGCAGGAAGTAGGCTAAGTGGGACTCTGCCACGCAGCTGAGTGTCTGCTGTCTGAGTGATGGCCCAGGCCTCTTCTCTGAGTACACGTGAGACCTCAGCATGTAGGAAGCCTGTGCCCTGGATTACCCACACAGGATATCTAATAAGGCTCTGCCCATTTCCAAAGGCTGTTGGAACCTCACATGGGACAACTGAGGGCCAGACACTTCACAGAGCCACCTAAGTGTGCAGAAGGCCCCAGGGAAGGCTAGGGTAGAGAGGGGAGTGATGCTGGGGTCCCCTAAGTGACCAGCAACATGCAGGCATTATAACATTTGTGTTCTCAGGTCAGCAGCCCAGCCAGTGAGGCCTTGGTTTCCTCTTGCTCTGGGGATCCCTGTGGTCCAAGGACGGCAGTCGTGGGTGAATTGTCACCCAGGTCTCCAACCAGGGCAAGCAGAGCAAGGAGAGGTCCCTCTGGGAAGTCACCTCATGTTTCCCTTTGTTCTGACCTTTTTTCTAATGAGAGGCCATCCTATCTTTGCAGGTCGCAATGAACTGATTGCCCGCTACATCAAGCTTCGGACAGGGAAGACCCGCACCAGAAAGCAGGTGGGCTGGGAGACAGGCACAGCCTGGGTGCAGTACTAGCTTGCTCCCAGGGTCCTGACCCTCCCCAAGGCCAAGCATGGGCTCTTGGAACAGGGTGGCTCCTGCCTCACTGGGAGTAGCAACCCCTCTGCAGGACAGCAGAAAAGACAGCAGACAGCAGACATTGCCCTGGCTACTGAAACAGCCACACTCAGGATTCGCTGAGCGCCTCCTGGGTGGCTTTCATTTACTTAGTCCGTGCACAGAGCAGGGTGGAGGGCCAAGCCTGGGGTAACTGCTGCTTGGGAGGTGAGAACAGGGGCCCTCTCTCCCTACTGCAGGTCTCCAGCCACATCCAGGTACTGGCTCGACGCAAAGCCCGTGAGATCCAGGCCAAGCTCAAGGTAAGGCAAACAGCAGCAGTGGGTGGGGGCGAGGCAGCGGGGGCTCTGAGTGGCTATTATCCTGAAGTTGGAGCTCTTTTTCCAGGGTAGAGTGTCTTCCTGTGAGCTCAGGGGCTGGCTGCTTGGGTGCTGAGCCCAGGGGCTGCTGGAGGACAGTCAGGATGAGCCTGAGAGTGCTCTCCCCTGGACCTCAGGGTCTGGTATGTGAGTATTAGGCACCCGAACTCTACTGGTCTACAGGCCAGGATCCTTCCGGTCCATAGCCCCTGGCTTCAGCTCAGAGGGGCTCATCTGGCTCAGAGCAGCAAGGTCACCCTCCAGACATTCTTGAAGATGTTCTCAAATTGCTGGGCTTCTCCAGACCCTTTAGCACCCTCAGCCACAGCCCTCGAGAGTGGCAGAGTTTGGTGGAATTGCAGGAGGGGCTATTGGAATCCCTTTTGCTCATGAGGAATGCCAGTTCCTTTGCTTCCCTGGATCTGCCCACCTGCAAAGCCTCTGCAAATGGGGTTCCTGATGGGAAATCAGGCCTCCTAGTCTCTAGAACCTGGGGTGGTTTTTTTGGTGGTTACTAGGGCTAACAACAGAGGTGTTTACAACAGAACCATTGTAGCCAGTTGGAAACAAATCTAACATGTGGGCCATTGGATTAAACAAGTAGTTAAAAAAATAAAAATAGTTTACAAACTTTTAAAAATTTTTTATTCTTGCTATGCAGTTCAGGCTGGCCTTGAACTTACTATGTATTCCAAACCAGCCTTGAACTTGTGGAGATCTTCCTGCCTCAGACGACTAAGTGCTGGGATTACAGGTGTGTGCCACCATACCCAGCTACAAAGGAAAAAAAAAAAAAAAATAGATTTTAAAGCAATGAAAATCCTTTTATTTTTTTCTCCCAATGAAATCTTACCCACAGTGCTGAGGGGCTGGTCTTATAGCTAGGCTGTGAGGGGCAGGCTAGAGAGCTCCCCTGCCATACAGCCTGTGTCTCTACTAAGCAAGAGCCCCAGAGCACTTCAGAACCTAGTTTAAGAGTCAGAGGCATCTCACAAGTCCAAGCTGGCCCCATAGTCTAAGGCCCTAACATTGGTCTCTTAAATCGTCAAGTTGGTGGGAAGCATAGACATTGCTGGTTTCTAGGAAGCCACGCCCACCACCAGCCCAACTGTCACTGCACCCCACAGCTGTGGCCAGGGACCTTGTTCGTCTATCTCTGGGACAAGTGGCCTGGCCACAGCTGCAGGCCCTGCTTGGAGCCCGGCTTACTCTTTGTGTCCTTTTTCTGTCTGCCCCCAACTTGCTGGGCCTCTGGCTGGTGTCAGAATGGAGGACAGATTTCCCAGTGTCATGTTTTAGAGCATCCAGGGGAAGGGTCAATTCCTGTGGGGCTACTGTACTGCCCAGTGTGGTTCAGTCACATGCACCCTTTCCTTGGGCTGCCACTTGGGGTCAAGGAGAGCTGTTTGTGGACTGCTGGGCTGGAGCCACAAACCCGCTACCACGGGCAAACTTCCATGTGTATGTATGCCTTCCTAGAGAGAACATCTTCCTAGAGAGATTTTGTCCTATTCTTAAAAGGGTTCTCGGATCTAAAGCGAGCAGATGCTGGGTCAACAGCAAGGCCAGGTAGCAAGGCCATCTTTGGGCTGTGACCATGCTGCAAGCCTTGTCTTTCCCTCTGAGACCTCAGGTGCATGGGCAGGTCACACAGCCTCCTGGGGCTCCTTTTACCTCCCCTATCTGCATGAGGTGACAGTGATATGGAGTCTAGCAGTTCCCTGTGGACTGGAGATCCACTCACTGGAGCATTCAGGACTCCCGGCTCTGCTCCTGGCCACTGGTGTCCCTCCCTGTCTTCCCTTCCACTTCCTCCTGACTCCTAGCTAAGCCGCTGAGGATGTGGTTTCCTGAGCCCCGTCATTTGTTTGGACCAGGAATCCGGGAAGGGATGCGAGTTGCCGGCATGCAGTGGGTGGAGCTGTCCGGCCTCACCATGCTGGGGTTGATCTCAGAGTCTGGCGCACAGCCCGCCAAGTTGTTCTGTCTTCTGAAGGGAAAGTCCGGGATAAAGGGGCTCTACCACCAAGCTGTGTCCACGGCTCCAGCCTCAGGTTCTTCACTTTATAATGGGGTTCCTTGCTGTTCTCTATCTTCCTGGGCGTTAAAGTGGGTAACATGCTTAGAATCTTCCATGTGCTGTCAGTGGCCACACCCTGGGACAGTGTGCTGGCTACACAGCCAAACAGTGCTGGGTTCCGGGTGGGCACCTCTGAGCTTTGGGGCCACTCTACTTCCTGCCTCTGTGGATCAAGGCTGTCCTGGGGATCAGGGAGATGATCAGCCACAAGGACGTCTCACAGTCCTCAACTCCTGTAGCATTCAAAAAAAGCCTGTGTCTATCAACTTCATGGTTCATTTGTTTTTTCATTTTAAACAGTTCATCGTACTTAGGGGGTTGGCAAAAAAAAAAAAAAAAAGGGATTTGGCTTGGTGGTAGAGCACGTGCTTATGGTTCATGAAGCCCTAACTTCTGTGTCTAGCATGTGCGAATGCACACACACACACACTTTATCGTAAATATTCAGAATTTCTAATCAAAACTTTGGAGTCAACCAAACCAGGCTATTTAGCACCTGTAAAGCTGCACATGTTGTATAGCATTTATGGTCTCAGTCAATGTGTGAGGTCTTATTCTGGACAAAGATGAAATTCACATTAGGCTTTTAGAAATAGAGAATGTCTCGTCAGTTTTGAAGCCCCTTTGGGACTGTGGAGCCAGGAGGGAAGCCATTGGTGTATACAAGTCTAACATTGTTCTGGCATTTATGTTTGGAGGGTCGGGGGTGGCGACACGGGCCTTGCACATGCTAGGCAAGTGCTCCACCATGGAGTAACGCCTTGAGCCCAATATGGCCATTATCAGGGTCATACCAAGGACTTCCTAAATGCTTCTGTGTTCAGGGTCTATGCAGGCTGAACCTGCTGTTTGGGTTCGTTGAACCCACAGAGAGCAGATGGTGGATACTGACATTTTGACACTTGAAAAGTAGGTGAGTCCCACAGTGCCTACAGTGCAGGACTAAGGCAGGTAGGGCCAGGGGACACTGTCCTTTGCCTCTGACAACCTGTGTGGCCAGGGATGATCCCTACTGCACGTTGAGAAGACACCAGTGGATCCTTATCAGCGTCCATACCATCTAGATGTTGAAGTTTAGGTGTATAGGCATGAACAAGGATAAAGTGTTTGTTTGTGTGTGTGTGTGTGTGTGTGTGTGTGTGTGTGTGTGCGTGCAGGGTCTCACTACACAGCTCAGACTCATAGTGATCCTCCTAATGTCTGCCTCCCTAGTGCTGGGATTACAGGTGTGCACCACCATGCCTGGACTCCATCGCTGGCTCAGCGCACCTGGGGGTGGGGCTGGCGCAGCATGTGGTGCCAAGGATCGAACCCTGGCCCCTGTGCTTAACTAAGCAAGTGTGTAGTCCGCTGAAGGATAAAGGTTCTTGTTGTTAATTTCCCTTCTCCCTCTTCCCTCCCCGCCTTGTCCCCCTCCCTCTCCCTGGAGTTGGGGATGGAATCCAGGCCCTTGCACATGGTAGACCACTTTGGTAGCATATGCAAACCCTGGTTCTACCCCTAGGACTGAATGAAAAAAAAAATGTAGTCTGGCAGATGACCTCCTTTTAAACTCTGATGACATAGAGGCAGGGAAATACTTTGCCTCTGTGACAAAGGAAACTGATCAGAGAAACCAAGTGACAGTGTAAGCTAAATCAGTAGTGCTACACAGACTTAGTAGCTGGCCCATAGGTCTTCCTGACCATGGTCGTTCGACCAGCTTCCTCACTCCTAGGCCAGCTGCTGCCTCGCCTGAGCCTGCATGGTGTCCTGCTGAGGTCCTCCCTCCCACTGTCCCCTCAGGATCAGGCAGCTAAGGACAAGGCGCTGCAGAGCATGGCTGCCCTGTCATCTGCCCAGATCATCTCAGCCACCGCCTTCCACAGGAAAGTGGCCCTCGCCCGGGGCCCAGGCTGCCCAGCCATCTCAGGGGTAAGTGGGCTGACCATCTGCGAGCCAGGAGCAGAGAGCCCAGTATGTTCTAGTTTTTCTCACTTGTGTCCTTTCAGGTCAGGAGTGCCAGGGGGGAGGAGGGTACCAGGACCGGGGTTGCCCTGAGTCGCGGCTCAACTGATGGAACCATGTTGTTGGGACCCTTGGTGTGACCCAGCTGGTCTTTAACCAGGGCAAAGTGGCCAGCTATGAGCTGACAGCTGAGCCATGATGAGGAAGCTCAAGTCCAGGGAGTAGAGCTGAAGCTGGAGGACCTGGCATTAGCACCTGTACATGCGGCCCTGTGGAGGGGCCACTCAGCCCGAGGCCACTCCTCCTGCTCAGAACCCCAGCACCGCCTCCCTCCAGGTGGAGCAGAGCTGTTCCTGGGCGCAAACCATGGCTTAGATATCACATTTCCCAGCCCCTCAGCCGAGGCCAGGTTAGGCCTACACTGAAAATGTTCCAGAAGCTGTGAACTCACTGGATCTTTGAGCTGTAAGGACCAACAGCACTGCCCTGGTCACATGGGGAAAGGACAGGCCCTGTGTTCTGTGGGCCCCTCATCCCTCATATTTCAAAAATTCCTCCAGAGAGTACTATGTATTAGAATGTTAAAGAGATGTAACAAAAAGTGATCATCTGGGCCGGTGCCATTTGACACTTATACATTTTGTTTTGGCGCTGGAGATGGAACCCAGAGCCTTGGGCATGCTAAGCACATGCTATACCACTGATTTGCGCCCTGAGCCGCCCTAAGTAGCTTTCTTGACCTCAGGCCAGTGATGGTGAATCGCCATCAAAGGAGTGCCCAGACTACAACCCAAAACCCACTTACTTATCTTAAAGTGCTAATGCTGGAATTAAACTTGAATACCGAGGCTTTAGTTTAGAAGAATCAACTGTTGGCGATGCTCAGCTCCTGGGGTACTTTGTGTGCTCCCCAAAAGGGCTGTGGCCACTGCAGCACACAAGCCATAGGTTCACCACCACTGCCCTTGGGGCTTTAGAAGCTTACATGCTGAAGTGCTCTAGGAATCTGTACAGGAGGAAGACAGTGTGCAGTGATTGCAAACCTGCGTGTTTTGTCTGTGGAGCGCCTCATCCACAAAGCTGTGCCAGAGCCTAGCACACGTGGGGATGCCCTGCAGCCGGCTAGCATTAGCAAATGGGACAAGGATACCTGCATCCCTTCCTCCTCCGGCTGGGGTCAGCACACAGCTCCCTGCAGCCAAGGCCCTGCTTCATCTCCCTCAGTGTGGGCCCCTGTGTCGCACAGCTGTGCTGACTGTACCTTTTTCCTTCTCAGTTTTGGCAAGGAGCTTTACCAGGCCAAGCTGGAACATCCCATGAGTGAGTATGGCCTGGTATCTGCCACTAGTTACTCTGAACTGAAGTCAAACCGGAAACTCAGGAAACCAAGCCTAGCCACAGGGGTGGGATGAGACACAATCTATGTGCAGTGCCCACACCCTGGGGTGCTATTTGCCAGAACTGTTCCTGCAGGGTGTGGCCAGGGCTGAGCTTAGCACTTGGGGAAGGAAGCAAAGAGTCACACTGCAGGCTGGCTGGGGAGGCTGGGGAAGGGCAAATTCCCCAGCAGATGTGCTGCTCCCTTGGATTAGCCATGGAAGCTGAGCGAGGTGGTGGGGAAAGATGGGAGGTGAAGGCACTGAGTCCCCTAATGGTCAGACAGGTCTGCCACACAGCGCGTGCGGGCCTCTTCCAGGCAGCTGATGTCTCTTCTTTCCTTACCCCACAGTGTGAAACCTTTCTCTCAACAAGCCTACAGCGTCCAGCCTCCGCTGCCTCTGCCAGGTAGGTTGGCACAGGATGGCTCCACTGTGCCTCGTGCCCCTGTGGTATCTCCTACCTGGGCCCAGCCCCAGCAGCTAGACCCCTGCAAGTCCATCCTACATGCTGCCCTGCTGTGGGCCCAGGCTGTGTCCTGGGCTGCTGCCTGCAGTCTGGCCTCTTTCTAGCTGAGGGGACCTCAGGGAAAAGGACCAGAAGGGGCTAGGCAGGGAAGCTGGCCAGGTGTACCCAGGCTCTACTCCACTCCACCCCTCCTAGGACATGTCCTGGCACCAGGGCACCATCTTCCCCCCAGCTTGGAGGCTACCTTATTGCTAACAGTCTGGGCCAAGCCCCTGGGCTTCCTGCCATCCTGGGTACCTAAGTATTGTTCTCCGTCACCCCACACAGAGTGTTACCAAGTCCGGTTCAGTCCTCTGCTCTCTGCCTACACTGATGCAGCCTTAGCTTGGGTCCCCTCATACTTGCATGGGTTACTGCAGTGACCTCTTAACTGGCTCCACATCACCCTTTGCCATCCTGTGACACTCTAGGGTGCCAGTCCTTCCATGTTGCTTCCAGGTTTAACACTTCTGTAGTTTGAGGCAACTACATAAATCTGCATAGCCTTGGGTTCCTGGTCACCTCTAGTCACCCCTCGTGGCTCTCTGTGCACGCTCCTTCCTGGCCCCCCACTCCCTACTAGCCTGGCAACTAACCTGGCCTTGCCTTTCCTCATGCTGTGTGCTCACCTCCACCACATGGTGATCTTCATCATCATCTTCCCTGCCTGTGGCTAACGAATCCTGGATTGTGTCACACATGGGCATGACACAGTTCCTCGTTATTGATGCTTGCTAAATGAACAGATGGCTCAGCAGATGCATTGAACCCTGGCTGATACGTTCTGCCTGGCTGTCACCCACCACCACTGTCCCTTCTCGGCTTCCTCCTCCACAGGCCCCTGAGTTCCCTCCCTCCAACCGGTGCTGCAGTTGACCACACTGCTGATGGAAATGCTGGGTCATCTAGAGTTGTGTCCCTCACAGGCCACTGTTACCAAGTGCTGACATTTCTCCCCTTCTATCTCCACGTCCTCTCTCTGAACTCTGTGACCCGGCGTCACTTCCTTTTGGGCAAGCTGTCACATCTGTCTGTGGCATCTCATTTCCTGCTACTGCCCAGATTTACCCTCTCTCTGCATCCTGCACCCACCAAGTTTCTAGACTCAGCAAGTTGGCTCCCAGCCTGGCACTCACCTCTGCTGTCTCCTTGGCTTAGAATGTCTACACCCAGAGTTTCTCCCTGTGTACCTCAACCCTTTACAATGCTGCCTTCTTCTGGGTCCCACTTGGATCCTGTTCATTTGTTAGTGACACTGTACTGCAGGCCTGTTCTGGGCCAGGTTCTGTTCTGCCACCAGAGGAGCAGCTCTAGGCTAGTCAGGCATCTTCCTCTCCAGACCAGCGGTTGTTGAGGACACGCGCCCACCAGTGCCTGTTCTGGCAGGCCTTTAGGGCCCAGTCTCCCTCGAGTTTGGTTCTGCTACAGCTGTCTCAGACATTCCAGTTGTGTGTGCCATCTTCCTCCGTGGCAGACACAGCTCTCCCTAGGGAGCTGGAGTCCTTGTGGAGGGTGTGGGTGGGGAGGGCACCTGGACGGACAGCTTCCATGTACCTCTCCCACTGCGTGCAGGATTTGAGTCTGCTGCAGGACCCACCCCATCGCCCTCAGCACCCCCAGCACCCCCATGGCAGGGCCGCAGTGTGGCCAGCTCCAAGCTCTGGATGTTGGAGTTCTCTGCCTTCTTGGAGCAGCAGCAGGACCCAGACACGGTGAGTCCTGCACAAGGGTCCCATGCCCACACAGCCTCATTTGGCTCTCTCTCCACCTGCTCTTGGCTATCTTGTATGTCTTCTTTCGCACTCTTTAGGGTTAGCTTAGACTTCCTGGCTGGCCCTCATCCTCTTCCTCACTCCACCTTCTTCCCTGTCTCTGTTCTCTGTCACACTACTCCCGTCCCAAGCCCTGACTTGCCTTCCATTCCCTCCCTGCTGTGCAGGCTCCTCCTCCCCCTTCCCTGCGATTCCTCCCTCTTAGTCCAAAGTTGCTTCCATCCCAAGCTGCCCCATATCCTTCTTTTCACTCTCTGGCTCTGAGGGGCTGGGAAAGTTGAGGAGACTGCTACCTCTGATTCACATCTTCTGGAAGACCATCTGGGATGAGTGGCTACCTCTGGGCTGTCCCCGTCAGTGCCTAGGGTTCTGGGTGCCCAGTGTCACCTTCAAAGACCAGACTAGTACTCAGAGGAAGATGAGAGGCCTGATTTCAGCAGTCCTTAAGTGTCTTTTAACTGAGGAACCTATTAACCAACCACATTCCTCCCCAGAAACCCAGTATGAAATTAAAGAACTGGGCTAGCAGTTCCCAGTGGGGAAACAGGAGCAGTGAGCTCCAGAAGGGCAGGGAAGCTCTGGCCCACTCTGTCTGCCCTGCCTTCCTTTGTCTCTCAGACCACCCTTCCTTACACAGTACAACAAACACCTGTTCGTGCACATCGGCCAATCAAGTCCAAGCTACAGCGACCCCTACCTCGAAGCCGTAGATATCCGCCAGATCTATGACAAATTCCCAGAAAAGAAGGGCGGGCTCAAGGAGCTCTTCGAACGGGGGCCTTCCAATGCCTTTTTTCTCGTGAAGTTTTGGGTAAGCCCTGGAATAAACCCCTCCTTCCCCTCCCAGAGCATTTGTGGTGGTGGTATGGGGGTAGGAGGGTGGGGTGAGCTTGAGGGGCCAGGAAGGAAGAGCAAAAAGGGTGGGGCTTGGGTGCCAGAGAACAAGAGTGAAAGGACTGGACACAGGCCTCCTGTGTGCGGGCTGAGCGCTGTGCACCATGCTTTCAGGACTGCAGGCCCTTCCTGATGGTGGTTGTGGCAGCCAGGTAGAAAATGTGGCTGAGAGGAAGTTGAAGTACCGGCCAAAGACTCATGGGAAGTGAAGGATGGGAGAAGAGCCATCCTGGAGCTTCTGCCATAGCCATCTTTGAAGGGCAACTCCAATGTGGTCCTGGGTCTGCAGAGAGGCAGCCAGACCTCCAGCACTGTCCAGACCATGTTAATTAAGTTGGACAGAGCTGGGAGAAGGGGCATATGGGGATGGGGTCTGTCACCCAGCCTGTGCTGTTCCAGGTCAGGCTACCCCAGAAGAACCCACGTCCCATTCCAGCCCAAGACTTGGCCCCACTCAGCACTGTAGAAACTGCTCCTAGGGGATCTGGAACTGTGGGAGGTCACAGGGCAAGGCCAGTCAGACACCAGCAGGCCAAGGCCATGCCAAGGAAGGGCACTAAAGCCTTGGCCTCCACATCATTCTCAGTGTCCCAGCACCAGGCTTGGCCACTGCCACGTCCCTCTTGCATTGCCCTTCAGTTCTCTCAGCACTGGTGGTTCCCATACCACTCTGATACTCTGGAAGCTTTGTGGTCCTAGAAAGAGGCATGTTCACCCACAGAGGTCTGTGTGTTATTCTGGGTGGGCTGGAACCAGGGGCCCCTCGTCCGTCAGATGCTTCATGTTTGCACTCAGCTAAAAACAAGGGGCTGTGAGCAGGATGGAGATTGGACCTGGCTTTAGGGATGAGCAGGTTCTATTGGGAAGAGGTGGGCACTCGGGAATAGTTTCTTCACAAAGAAGGCTGTGCGGAAGGCCATGGCAAAGCTGTGAGAACAGAAATAGTAACAAGCATAATGGAAGGGTGATTTGAACCCTGGAAGGTGCTGATTATACAGAAGTCTGGGTTTTATTCTATGCTGAAAAATGAAAAATGGGTAGTAGGGGTTTGTTTGTTTTGAGGCGAGTCTTGCTGTGTAGCCCAGTGCTTCTGCCTTAGCCTTCTGAATCCTGGGATTATAGAAGTGTGTCACCATGGCTGGTGGTAGGTGTTTTTTTTTTTTTTTTTTTTTTTTTTTTTTTTTTTTTTTTTTTTTTTTCCTGTTTTTGGTGCTGGGGATTAAACCCAGGGTCTTGCACATGCTAAGTCCATGCTATAACACTGAGCTGTACCCCTGCTGCTTTAAATCATGGATGTTCAGTTAAACTATTAATCAAAGAGGCTTTCTAATGAAGTGCATCAGATTCCTGTCTTCTTCCCCACATCCCAGCCCCAGGAGGCAATCCCAGTAAATGTTAGTGGCTGTTTTTCTTTGTTTGTTTGTTTTTGGTACTGGGGATTGAACTCAGGACCTTGCACTCACTAGGCAGGCACTTATGCTATGGAGCTATCTCCTCACCGAAACTCTCCTCTTTTTTTTTTTTTGGCAGAGCCAGGGATTGAACTCAGGCCCTTGCACTTGCCAGGGAAGCCCTTATTCTACTGAGCCATCTACCTGGCCCTAGCTGTCTTTTAAAAAAGATAATTAATGTTTTTATTTTTTACAATGCAGTGACAAGCAGAAACACTGAAACAACACCCAGGGTTTGGAGGTAGATTTATTTTATGTCAAAGAACACTAATTGGGATCCTTCCCAAAATATCAGGCCCTGATCTTAGGTGGTCTAGGGCTACTGGGATAAGCAAGCAGGAAGTACAGGGGCAGAGTGGCTTGCCGTTTGGGGATCAGTTTATACAATGTGCATCACAGTGAACAGCAAAAAAGTAACAGGAACTGGAACTATTACCTCCGCAGCTAGCAGACTAGCTGGGGGGCATTTTCTGCTATATCCTCCACCCTATCGTGTTTCAAGACTGGGTCTCACTAAATTTCCCAGGCTTAACCTCAAATTTGAGATCTTCTTGTCCCAGTCTCCTGAGTAGCTCAGATTACGGGTGTGCCGCACCATGCCTGACCAAATTTATTCTTAAAATTTTACAAATTACTCCACCAGAACCACTGCATAAAGTTAGGAAAAAGTATGTTTTCCAAATATCAAGCCTATTAAGTTGCTCTTCTCTCGTGACTCTCCTCCTCGATGCCTCCTCTGCCTCCTTTCAGTCTGAATGCTGCAGCTGTCCTCCTGAATTTCTCCTATGTTAGAAATGCTTTCCTAGATCTCATTGCTTCTTTACTGATCTACTCCCCTCATTTTTCTTCAGTGCATCTTGTAGTATCTTCTAAGAAAAGATTCCTGTTTGAAATAACATTTTTATATCCCTATACTTGACTGACCAGTAGTTTGCGTAAGCGATCTGTATCATAAACAAGTTTCTACAAATGAGAAGATCTATTTTTTAAGAGCCTTTTTTTTTTTTTTTTTTTTTTTTTACTAGATCGGACTCCTAGTGATTCTCTTGTTTACAACCTCCTAAGAGCTGGGATTATAAGCATGCGCAATAACACCCAGTCTCAATTGCTGTCTCAGCATGCCCTGGGGGCAGGACCCCCAGAAGGCCAGAGATCGAACTCCCAGCCCCTGCACCTGCTTGCAGGCACTTTAATCTGCTGTGCTATTTGGCTGGTCCTTCTTTCTTTCTTTTAAAGTCTAGGTTGGCTTTGAACTCACTATGTAGCCCAGGTTGGCCTCAAAACTCAGAGATCCTCCTGCCTGAGCCCCCTGTGTTTCTTTCTTTTTTAAAAAAAATTATTTATTTGGTGCAGGGTCTCACGACGCAACTCAAACTCATAGTGATCCTCCTGTCTCAACCTCCTCCATGCTGGGATTACAGGTGTGTGCCACCATGCCCAATTTTGGTGGCTGGTTTGCCACAGGGCTGGCACGCCACAGGGCTGGCACAGCATGTGGTAGTGGGGATTGAACCTGGGTCCTTGTGCTTGCCAGGCAGTGCTTAGACTGCCAAGCTATCTCCTCAGCCCCTCTCTTGGGTTTCTTTGTATCCTTACCAATACTTGATAGTTTCTGTGATTACAGCCATCCTAATAGCTATGTGGTAGAACCTCCCTTGGCTTTGATTTACATTTCTCTGATGAGTAGAGATGTTCGGCATCCAACACAGGAGATAGCTCAGCAGCATAAGTGCCTGCCTGGCAAGCGCAAGGTTGCGAGTTCGATCCCTGGTACCACCCAGGAAGGAAGGAAGGAAGGAAGGAAGGAAGGAAGGAAGGAAGGAAGGAAGGAAGGAAAAAGAAA